CAATTCTCCTGCCTCAGCCTCCTGAGTAGCTGGGATTACAGGCACGCGCCACCATGCCCAGCCAATTTTTTGTATTTTTAGTAGAGACAGGGTTTCACCATTTTGACCAGGATGGTCTCGATCTCTTGACCTCGTGATCCACCCGCCTCGGCCTCCCAAAGTGCCATCATATTTTTATAAGAATACTTTCTTGTTCCCTTAATGCACCATTTTAAATTTACCGATTTACTTATTCTCCTTACTCTGTTTATGCGGCATTATCGTGCCATTTGCATACTATCTTGTTCTTGATTTTTGAATGTAATAACTTCTTAAATATTGTTATAATAATAATTGGAAAACATTTAAACATCCTTTTATTTCCTGATTTAGTTCTCTTTCTTTTGAGGTTGTTTTTATTCCTGATTGTTTTCCTTGGTCTCTGTTGTAAGGGTACCTATGATTTGTTTAAACTAGATATGGGAAGGGCCGGTCGCGGTGGCTCATGCCTGTAATCCAGCACTTTGGGAGGCCGAGGCGGGCAGATCACGAGGTCAAGAGATCGAGACCATCCTGGCCAACATGGTGAAACCCCATCTCTACTAAAAATACAAAAAAAAAAAAAAAAAAAAAATTAGCCGGGTGTGGTGGTGCATGCCTGTAGTCGCAGCTACTCCAGAGGCTGAGGCAGGAGAATTGCTTGAAACCAGAAAACGGAAGTTGCAGTGAGCCGGGATCGCGCCACTGGACTCCAGCCTGGCGATAGGGCGCCTGCCGCTCTGGGCAGGCTTCATGGCTTCCGTGATGATTCCACTGTGCACACAGGTGATCCGGCCAGTGCATCTTACAGTTTCTTTGTATTTTTCTGCTACTTCCACTTCTTGCTTCTTGGTGCAGCAGCAGCACAATTACTTTGAGAAGCCCATAGGGGCAGGGCCTGCAGAACAAGTCGGACCCTCTGCAATGCTCAGCCCCATCTTTCTCTTCCCAGTTCAGGCCACCTCCTCTGCGCTGATCTCCAAGGAACCCCAAATGCCCAGAGTCCTGGTGTCTCCTGCAAGCAGCAGAGGGAGCCCACACTCTATCAAAAGCGATTGAGTTTCTCATTATACTAAAAAGCAGAAAGTACAATAACTGTTGTTTTTCTGCCATGCAGAATGTCCTTACAGATGAAGCTTTAATCTCCCTCGTCCATCTCTGCTGCTGTAAATTTATGCTCCATTCTGGTTCCATATGCCCGATTCTCTCTGAGAAAGCCACGGTGGGCTTGGGGGGAACCTGGGCTTCAGAGCTGTGTGTACAGCATGTGGAACTGCAGATTGGTCCTTCTTACACTTAAAGGTTACATCTGCACAGGTTGTTTTAGAGCCATTTATTAGCCGTGATCCTGCATGGATCAGTCGTGATGTCACGGAAAAGATGCCGTGGAACTCACTGAAAATCATGAAATGCAAGAAGCAGAAGCAGAGTTTGGCCCATTAAAAAAGA